TTTCTGTTCTAGAGTCTCTAATCATGTCTTTCATGCTGCTTACCATCTCTGTAGTTATCTGGGAGATTCTTTCTGCTTTGACTTTTTCTAGAGCCTCATTCATCTGTTTTATTACTTCCTGTGCTATCAGTTCAGGGTGTTCAGGTGGTTGATTATCAGACTTTTCCACCTCATTTCCCCCAGAATTTACCCTTGGTGGGGTGGAAGTCTGAATTTGTGCCTTGCTTAAATGTCTTCTCAGTTTTGTTTTTGGTACTGTCTTTGGTTTAATTCCTGGGTTGATACTTCAAAATTACTTATTGTAAGTATCTTTGCTGCTATTTAGAACCCTTATGGAATGATTGCTTCTCAGAGGTGTCTTCCAGATATAGGTGGTCTTTAAGTTTTGAGACTTTAATGACTCTGAGACTAACTCATTTTCATTATATCAACAAGGACCACTGACTAGATCAATCACAACACCTTAGCCCAAGTGATACAATCAGCAACACTATAGCATCAAGTACATCTTAAAAAATGACAATTTGTGAAAGTTATTAATCTATCACCTTTAACTGTGTGACTTAAATCAAAATCGAGGACCTACCCAACATATGTTTATAGTGAATAAACTCTTCAATATAGCAACTTTTCCCTTCAGGATGGGGAGTTAGAAGGAGTTGGGGAGGGAAGGACAGATAGGTAGGTGGATAGGGGAAGGTTAGCAGTGGGGCCAGAGGACCCAGCTGAGAGAATGAAAAAGAGAATAAAAGAAAAATAAAAGAAGAAATCCAAATTAGGGCCAGAACAGGAACAAAAAGGGAGATGAAGAACAATTGTGGGACAGCAAGAGAGTGAGTGTGTGAGAGAGAAAGGAAAGAGAAAAGAAAGAAAAAAAGAAGAGAAAAGAAAAATGTGAAAAGAGTAGGAAAAAAATTTAAAATAAGAGCAAAAAACCCCCAATAATAATAATTTTGGAAGTAAAAAATAAAAATGAAAATGAAGGGCCTCCTTCAGGGTATGTCTCTCCTGTCACAATAGACAACGTGGCCAGCAGTGTGCAGATAAAAGTCAGTGAGTCTCAGCAAGCCAGTTGCAGACCCGTGAGATTCAGGCAGATTTCTGGCTGTAAGTCCCAAGTTGAGCTCCCTGTCCTCCTGCAGGGTTGAACTCTGTAAGGTTGAACTGCAGGTTCCAGCTGCCCTTCCCCTGAAGACAGTCCAGGTTCCGATGGGAGGTGATGATCTCTCCAACTTACCCAGTAAGGTGATCTGGTGTCCCCTGTGTCTCTGTAGTGTGGAACCAAGTAGCGGTACAGTCAAGAGGCCAGAGGAGCAGGGGGTGGTGGGGGTGGGGGTGGGGTGTTTTCCTAAGTGGATTGCTGCCGTGGGCGTGGCCAGTGGCGAGGGGTCCTCACCTTCTGGCTGGTCCCTGCTGATGTGCTGGTGTGGGCTGGATGGGGCGGGGCTTCCAGTGACTTGGTACCTCTCTCTCCAGCACCCCACCAGTGTGCTTGGTGCAGGCTCCAGTTCCTACAGTTTTAAAATTTAATCAAATCCACTGAACAAAGAGGACACAAAAATCAAAATATGTAATATATTTAGGAAATGCTTTGTAAACTTATTAGTGACAGTTACTGCATATCTATTATATAAGGGCTACTCAATTCTATTTTGTATTATTTAAACTACCTTTTACACTATTTGGAAACTGAGGAATTCTTTTAGTAATATCAATCACTTAAGGGATTGCTATACTTCTAAAAACTATTCATCACTTGCTTGCAGATATGAGTCAGTGGAGTTTTTGTTTTTTCTACTAAACACTGTTTAACTATTAACAATACCTTTAAAACCCTTATATGGCTGTGGAACAATTTTTCTAAGACCGTTATATGATTTTCATTAGAAACTATTAGTATTTTTTTTCAAATCCCTTTGGACATTTAGAACTCTGAGAGTCCCTAAAACTTGGGGACTTGGCCTCTCTCCCACCACCCAATCAGTGATTGAGACTTGTTTTGCCTATCTTATCTTATCTCTAGAAGTAGTTCACTCTTGTTATCCTAGCCCAGGCCACCAGCATCCCTCCGTGAACGTTGGCACCATCCGGATGGCTCCCTGTGCTCAGTCTCTCATGAAGGTGCTGTACCCACATCAGGGAATGTATGGGCTTCCAGTACCACAGAGCTTTTTTTTTTTTTTTTTTACACAATTGGAAGAAAGATATTTAAAAGACTCATCAAGAAGTCCTCAATTTTCAAATTGTAATAAATGCTATATAAGAAAATACAGGTGGACAAGACATGTTTTAATCATGAGGTGATCAGAGAGGACCTCTCTGAGGATGGGACTTTAAAACTGAGACTGGAAGGAAAAGAATGAGTCAGCCAAGAGAAGAGAAAGAGCCCTCTAAGAACATGCAAAGGACCCAGGGGGAAAGGGGCATTTTTGCTAATCTAAGAGCATATCAATATAGTTGAGTCATTCTCCATGTCTGTGGGTAGGTTTAGCATACTCCCTCCCCTCAGCACATATAACAAATATATGGAGATGAGAATAAAGGGGCTGGGTGTGTCGCTCAGTGGTAGAGTGCTTGCCTAGCATGTGTGAGGCTTGGGGTTCAATCCCCAGCACAACAAAAGCAAAAAAAGAAAAGGAATCAGATACCCTATCTAGGAGGATGAATGCTTTTTGTACAGTATAAATGTGATTAAATCACTTAAAGAGCTTCGTGATTTCCCCTTAAATGTTCAAATATTTTAATTTAATTTAGAAGAACCCTCACACTCAAGCTCTCACTCACTCCCTCAGCCTTACCTGTTCTTACTCTCTTCATTTCGCATAGGCTTTCTTTTCATTCCTTGAATGTACCACACTTTCTTGTCCAAGACTTCTCTCTTCTTCCTGCTGACTCGAACACCCTTTTCCTCGCTTTTGCTTGATTGATCCTCCCTCATGTTAAAGACTCAAGCATCACTTCGGAAAAAGCCTTAAAACCATGTGTCTAGGGACTCTCATATCATTCACACAGACCCTGAGCTACTGTGTATCTAATTCCAGTTATGCATTCACTTCAGATTTCTAGAAAGGAAATTCATGGTGCCTTATTATGGCTACTCCTGGTGTGGTCCACATGTGTACCAACAATACTTTGGCCTGCTATCTCAAATGGCTCTGTAACAGACGAAGTACGCTGTACCTTGACACTTCCACATTCAGAACAGCAACTCGACAGTCTCTTAATCATAAGTGGTTAAAGTTGTACCAGAAGAACAGCTTCCTTACCTAGACCCCATGACAGAGTAATGGTTTGGCTAGAGTACTGTAACATTAGCAAAGTCTGTTTGGAGGTCACAAGAAACAGAAGGAAGAGAAGTAAATCCACTTTCTTAGATCACATTCCCAAGATAAGTACAGGAGAAAAGAAGCCTGACATTCACATTTGGGCGATAGTGCTGGGGATTGAATCCAGGGCCTCAAGCATGCCAAGGATTCACTACACCACTAAGCTACACCCCTAGCCCTTGGCTTCACCTTTGTTAACAACATTCCATATATAGAATCCAAAAGCTGGGAAGATGGATTTAAGATGTTTAAAATCCTACCACAGTGAAATAATGCTTTATATTAATTTCCTTTCAGTAAAATTTGTATATAACCAACCCATCATAAAAACAAATTATTCTCAAAAATATGACAATATATCCATATGCCTGCATCTTTTTATTTTAACTTACATGGCTTCAGACTGCTTGGGAGAAACATTAAAGTACTAGCAGTGTTAATGGTTGTGAGCAGAAATGCCATGAAGTGATGCAAATGCCACTTAATGACTTATTAGTCAATAAATACCTCATGCCTGACACTTTGTTCTCTCTATATACAGAAGAAACAAAAGTATGTTGCAGCTGTCTCGGGTTATTTATCTGATTTGAGAAGCTTACTTCCCTCCACTCAGGTAGGAAACCACATTAATGTTAAGTTCCAGAGATGCTTTCAAAGGAGATTTTCAAACTGAAGTGTCAAGCTTCTTACATTGGTTCCAAAGTAACCAATAGTGGGAATCCTATTTATTTTATGTGCACCTTATCTTTTATAAGAAAGAATTTGAGATGATATATATGTGTATATGCAACAAGATTAAAAAATAATATAAAATAGTAGAGGTAAGGTGCTAAAAACAGGTAGAAAAATAAGATGCAACTGGGAGTGACGTATCACCATGTTTTGGAAAATTAGTTTTTATGTGTGTTAGAGAGATTTATTATTTCCACACAATGGACACCCTTTAACAAAACACAAATTATAAAAAGTCTTCTAGAATTTATCAGAATCCTTTCCCTAATTGTGTTTGTCACTAACTCAAAATGACACTAGCTGAATCTATTATCAGCATTTGATTCATTTAAAGTAAAATCTTTTAAATTCTTCCATATTTAATAAATATACTTAATGAATTTAACTTTGATAATATTCAGATGGCATACTTGATCACTTAGATGCCATTCTTGTTAAGGGTAAAAGAAATGTGACTCTGTTAGTCAAATAGTTTGATTCTCCATACAAAATCTTAATTGTAAAGCTCACAATTCCTAACAGGAAGGCATCAGCCCCCTGCAGAACAAACACTTTTGGAGTTGTATCAGTGCTATATTTCCCAACAAGCAAAAGCTCAAACTTATGATTAGGTTTAAAGACACCCTAATGGCAATTTCCTAGAAAGCAACTAGGTTGAAAAGATTTTTTTTCTTCTTGTTCAAAGACTTTTGTTCTCTTGACCAAAACCATTTCCTCCTGCTTACAAGAATTTAAATGATTTGTTCTGACTTTTTTGTCCTTGCATTTTCCAGATGCCTCTATTCTATTACAGTGAGATTCTTCCTTTATAAGGAGTACATTGGCACCTTCTCACCAATTACACTGAAAGAGGAAGAATATTTGAAATGAAAAGTGATAATTATTGAACTCTACTTCTCATGTCCTGAGCTATGTTCAGCATGGTCTGTTGGGTTAAAGACCACCAGTCAGGTTACACACGAATCAGGGATGTGGAATCGTCATGAGCATGGAACCTGGTGCCTCTGGAAGCAATGGAAGATTGCTTAAGAGTATTAAAAGTGTATTCAGAACCCTGACTGATGTGAATAGTTTTAAATAGAAATATGAAAACAAAACAAGGGGAAATGATAAAAGCAGTTCTCTTAAGTACAAGCAAAGAGGAAAGAAAGATGTTTTCCTTCCCTGCCTGTGTCAGAAGCGTTTAGGTATAAGGGTAGCTGCCTTGGAGTGCATGGTTTGGTTCGGTGAGCTAAGGGGGCCTTAAAAGGTTCTGGGAACTTCATATGCAGGATTTAATTCTTAGTCTAGAGAAACTTTGTCTAACTGGCTCAGAATATGGGCATTTTTAAAAGCCAAGTTCTGCCCTCTATCCTTACTTTGTGTATTAGTAGTGGTCAGCCTGTACATTTACAAAAACAATGAGAAGAAACATTAGTGGAGAGTGGTAGAGGGAGGATGTCAAGGTTGAGACATGTTCAGATCAAAGATTTCTGCAAACTGTTGAAAGCCATTGATAAATTTCTTAAAAATCCACAGCCTCCCAATTTACCCATTTGACTTGATCTGAAATGGCTTAAGATGAAAAATTAACTGATGTGACCTGGCTACCCTGGTTATCCTGGTTACCCAAGCCCACCAGAATGATTTGGAGCTAGGATTTATCAGGAAGTCTAATAAAGCAAAAGCCATTGCCAAACCCTTGCTGAAGCAGAGAGGCTTGAATCCTTCAGCTTCAAACTCAATGTGACAAGTCAAATGAGCTTGGATGCAGGTCTGTGGCCCACTTTATTGCATGTCCCTATGGCAAACAAAAAGCAATCTCCTTTTCTTTCTCCTTTCAACTATTATAAGCAAATTTGGCTAAGTAACAAGGGGCTGCGAACGAGTAGGTGAAGGAAGCCAGTGGGTGGGAGCTTCCTCAGAAGTGAGGCAGGTGGAGGCACGGAGCTAGAGGTGTGCTGCTGTGCCCTGTCTGACTCTGCTTCACTTCAGAGCAGAGTTGAGGGTCCTTACAGTCTCACAGCCCCCAGGCGCATCTAAAAGCTGGCTGCTCTTCATCCCAATCTGGGCTGCAGGCTACTTCCCTCATAAAGCATCAGCTATTTTGGCCTTTAAAAAACAAAAACAAAAACAAAATTTAGAAGGATACAAAAGTAGCATAACACAAAATATTTGCCCTGTGGAAGTCACAGTCCAGTTGGCCATGTGAAATCTGGCACAGATGGCAATCTGGAGCCACATGAGTTAATAAAGACAATGTAGACAGGCTTGTCCATACTTTCAATGGGAAATGAAACTAATCATAGCAAGATTTCCTTGAAGGTTTGACTTTTGAGTCATGGAGGACTCAGATCAAAGTAGGAGATTTACTAAGGGCAAGATGGACATTTCCAAGGTCAAAGAGAGGGAAGCCCAGGGTGGGGGCCCATCTTGCTGTGGGACAGAGCTACTGTTTTTTGGATGGGCTCTGGAACTACAGCTCCATCTCTGCAGGCCTCAGCCACTCAATTTCAAGGCAAAAGTGGGAAGGGGATCAAAGTCTAAGCAAGGTAGGCATGGTCCAGTCTTAATTATGAATATTGCTGTCCTGGTTGGGGTAAGGGAGAAGTCTACACTGAGGAGGAATAAAAATGGCAAACTTGGGGTTAGAAAGCTGGTCTGGCTAGATGAGATTAGGTTTGAAATGACTGATACTAGGAAGCCCGTAGAAGTTCTTGAGAGAGAAATGATATCGTGCAAAGGATTTTAAAGAAGTCTATTCCAATAACTGTGTCCAATAGGTTGAAGAGAAAAAAGACTATATGTATATGAGGGTTGGAGGTAGAGACAAGTTCAGGAGGCATCTCTGTAACTTAAAAGCACTATTGTCTATTTGCCTGACCTTTAAGTGTTTAATGATTTGAGACAAAACCTCACGAGTAAACTTCCTAGTCTATTGCAGTAGGCATCAAGTTTTCAAGTTTAAAAAAATGATGCAGTCTGTTATCTCTTGACTCAAGAAGTTGTAGCCAGTTTAAAGAAACTGGAATTGTGACTACTCATTGTCATCTATTACATCAAATAAAATGTTTTTACAGGGCCTTAGTTTGCTAAGCATGACTGCTAGTACTCTGTAACCCTGCAAAAGCAAGACATTTATCCAGAGAAGGTAAAATGACTTCACAAAAAGGTCAATGAATTAAGATAGTTCTACTTCTGCCGGAGTTAGTTGTATTTTGGGCAAAAGTAGCATTATTTTAGAAATAAGCCCCAAACAGTGAGTTTACAGACCCAAGAAAGTGATGACTATATTCCATATGTGCAATCAACCGGTCTGTCCTCTTGTCACTACACTGTGGCATGTGGCTGATTGACACTCAGCAGGGCACAAAACCGCAAGTGGAGCCAGTGATGTTATAATGAGGGCCTCCACTCCCTGTTATTCCTTGCCCTAGTGATCCTTTGCTTAGGTTGGGCATCCTATTTTCCTGGGGAGCTTTTCAAAGATAGGGAATATGAGACTTTACCAAAAATCTGAATCTCCAAAGGTGGAACCTAATTTTGTCTCTGTTTGTGTCATCTTTTTAGGTCTCCCAGATGACTCAGGCACACAATTCGAGTTGTGAGCTGATGGTTTAGATGATGTTATGGCTTATGTCTAGATGTCCCCTCAAAGCCTCATGCAGTCATGGGGGGGGCACTTTTCAGAGGTGGCTGCATCTAGAGAGTGTGGTGTTAGGACTAAGGGTGTGTGATTACTAAATCACACACTGAATGGTTTGGCATAATTCTGACTAGGATTCAGGGTATGAATGCTACACTTGCTCTAGGACAGGTAGCCTGCATAAAATATAAAGGACAGAAAGAGGACTAATGTGCTCTTGCCTGCCTGCTTGCCCTGGACTATTTCTCCTCTGCGATGCCCCTCTGCCATGCCACCCTGCCTTGGAGTCAGCCAACTATGAACTGAAACCTCTGCAAATGATAGACTAAATAAACCTTTCTTCCTTTGACTTTGGGTGTTGGGTATTTTGTCTCAGCAACGAAAAAAGTAACTAAGACAGATGGTGAAGATGGCATGCTCTCAAAAGTGCACATGCATCCATAAACATATACATTCCTGAGATAGCCAGGCAAGCCTACCCATTTTTTCCTTACTATTAAAAAGTGCTCGCTAATATTCTGGGAATATCATGATTGCAGAACCTCTAAATTCTTTAACCCACAATAAAACTAGCCCCCCACAGTTTCTTAATCCTGAGCATTATTGCAGTAAAGTACTTTCCCCAAATATCATGCCACTCTTAAAAACCATTTTCCAAAGCACAGATGAGTTCTTACTCTCAGCCCAATAGGATAACTGGAAGCTCTTTTCCTCATTCTCTTTATTTTAAAGACAGCCCTTCATTTACATTCCATCCTCCACCCAGCAGTATTCTCTGGAATCCACATTCCTTGTTGATCCCTCTTCCAAGAAATAAGAAGAGGGGGAGGGGAATAGTCTCTAGTGGGGTAGGAACAAAGTCACAGAGGAGCTGCTGAATTCCCAGAGGTAATCTCCATTGAATCAAAACACAATTAGGGAGGCTAATTCAATTAGCAAGTGATGCCAGTCTCCTAGAATAAACTTCTTGGGCTAGTTAGCTGGGGGAGGAGAGAGGATGACTGGTGCCTCACTGCATACAGAGAAAATACTAGAAAAGCTTGGAGCCTACCACCAATGGTGCAGTGGGTATTCACTTTAATATTCTTTATTGAAAAATTTCCAATGCATTAAGCTCTTTGGGACATAGAGCTGTGTTCACAAGATAAAGTACACAGATAAGACATAGAGAGATAAAAATATTCTTTGGGAAAATAGGGGCCTGCAGTACAAAGGTTAAGAGCTTTAGGGGAACATTTCACATTCTGGCTTTTAAG